TGGCCAGTGAGGGCTGGGAGAGTACAGGGGAGGGGCCAGGCAGCTGGTGGTCAAAATGACTGCCCTTGTCAAGCTGTGCATGTTTCGGGGTGCTAGGCAGGTGGCCCCTCTTCCCCAGAGGATCCTCATCCTGTCTGGCAATGGGTGAACTGCCACAGGTGGCAGCTCCTTTCTTGGGGTTGAGGTGCCTTCACTGAAAATGTGCTGTGACATGCTGACACCCCAGAAGTCACTGACACTGGTGTGTCATTAGCCTGTCACCTGGTCTGTACGACCTTCCCCTCAGGAAGAAGAGTGCTTAGGAAATGGGAGTTTTGAACATGAGAAAGAGAAGGGTGGTTTGAGGGAGTGGCATGCTCAGAACTTGGGCTCTGTTAGATGTGTGAAGGTTCCAGGCCCCCTGATGGAGAGATAGAGAAAAGCCTGCAAGGGTAGCCAAGGCCCAAGGGTATCAATCCTACTCAAGGCTTCATGTCACTGGAGGTTGGCATGTCTGTTTATACTTTATCAAAGCCATTTTCATTGTTCCTCTTAGTTTAAGTCAGTTGTTGGATTACCCCCAGGCTGTACTTCACAGATGATGTCAAAGGCCACAAGCAGTTTCTGTGGATGCTTCCACGGGTCCTGCCCAGCAGCCTGGTGGGTCTCCTTACCCAGGAGTACTCCAAAGGCGTGTTCGGGGCCCCCAGGGGCAGAGCCCCACACTCCTGCCTAGGAGTCCCCAAGTGTGATGGGATGGTAGGAAAGCTTAAAATTCAATTAGCCAATGTGGACAAGACCCCGACTCTTGGTTTTCTGGCCTCTGGCAGTGGCAGAGAGGACTTGAGGCTGGGAATCCTGGCAGACACCTGTGTGTGCCATACCTTCCCTCCACACCCTTTAGTCTTCAGGGCACCTCCTTTCGGTCACCCTGAGGTAGGCCCAAGAAGCTGCTTGGCAGTGCTGAAAACTTAAGGCTTGTCAAGGTGGGACAGCAGTGCCATCAGCTGGGCATCCTCATTCTTGGGCTGGGTGACTGAAGAGAGGGTCTGAGGCAGATGGCAGCTGCCACTTCCTGGAAGAGTGGCTGCTGGAAGCCTCTGTTCACTCCACCCCTCTGTGCACAGGGTGAAGGAGGTGTACAGGCTGGAGGAGATGGAGAAGATCTTTGTCAGGTGAGTCTCACCCAGTGCGGTGCAGGGCTTGAGGGGAACAAGAGAGGAAGGCACAGCCGTGGCAGGGATTTGTTTTCTGCCCAGATGGCTGGAGGGTAGAGTGGTGGTAACTTAGTCTGCGTAGCTCTCTCCATCCCATGGTTTTTGGGGTTGAGTGCTGACTGAGCACCTGCTGGCAGGGGAGCCGGACGGCATGTCAGGCAGAAATACTGGCTCACTGATCAGCGAAGTGGGATCATCCCTGTGAGAGGCAGAGCATCAAGCTGGTTGAAACCCTGTAAACCCCAGCTCCTGGTGTGAACAAGTGAGCAGGCTTCTTTTGCGTGGGGCACAGGTGCTTACAGAGATGAGTCTCCTCCCAGGAGCCAGCAAGGGGAAACCTAGTGCTCTAACCTTGGTGGCCACTGTGCTGCCAGGGTGGGGACTAAGGACCCGGTGGCACCTTTGGTCACAGATGTCCCGCTAGAGCCCCTGAGAGCAGTATCACAGCAGGTTCTTCCCTCACTGTGTTGCCTCCACTGCTTGGCTCGGCAGCAGGAGGCCAGGATCCAATCCCTATCCTGCTGTTAGCTCCCTTGCCATGCGACTTGGGGGTTCTTCCTTTAGTCTCCGTGCCTCCTCCTCGTGCTGAACTAGGATAAAACACTGGGTGGTGTGGCCTTGACATCAGCCAGAGGCTAATGGGAGGGTCTCTCACCATCTCTCACTGCTGGCGCACACGCCTGGGGAGCCAGGTTGGAAATGAAGATCATCAAGGGTTCCAGCGGCACTCCCCGGCTCAGCTATACGGGGCGGGATGACCGACACTTTGTGCCCACAGGCCTCTACATCGTCAGGACTGTGAATGGTGGGTGATGAACAACTATTTCCTGCCTTAGCCCCTTCGCTGCCCCAAGCTGGAGCTGAAGGCTCTCTGGGAAGGTTGGGGACAGGTGTGCTGCCGGGCTACCCTCGTCTTCTTAGTGAGCTGGCATTCTAAGCCAGCTCTTTTTGGGCCCTGGGAGCTGGGTTTGAGTGGGACAAGGTGTCTGCACACATGCTGGCCCTGTGGCCACAGAGGGCCTTTGCACGGGCCAGTAGCAGATCCAGAGGTGCCAGCCCCTGTGACCTAGTGAGGGAGGCTGTATCCTCATGGCTGTCCCCACTGCTTTGGGGGTAGGGGCAGGCAGCAGGTGTATCCCGTGGACCTCTGTCCTTGCTGAGCCCCTTTCCTTCTTCCTGTCAGAGCCATGGACCATGGGAATAAGCAAAAGCTATAAGAAGAAGTTTTTCTATAATAAGAAAACCAAGACATCCACCTTTGACCTCCCTATAGACTCCATTGCTCCATTTCAGTAAGTAGCCTCTCTTCAAGCCTGCCCTTGGCAGCGCATGGGGCCCTGGGCATCAGGAGCAATGATGCTGTGATAGTTGGGGGTTCCCCATCTTAGGGGTTGGTCTGGGCAGGGCGTCCACCCAACAGCAGCCACTGTGCATGATAGGTCAGCCCTGGCTTGCTGGGAACAGTGTGCTGAGGCGGTGGCCCTGCACGTTGCAACTTGAGGTACCAAGGCCCCAATCACAGGATTCCAGCGTCCGCTTGCCAGGTTATGGGTCACATATCTCCAAAGCATCCCTCCGTCATCTGCACTTGACCCGACACTTGTCCCTGTCCCCACACTAACACAACAGAATGAGTCCCTGGGTGTTCCTTATTAGCAGCCCAGCTGTTTGTTGGGGACAGATGGGTTCTAAGCAGCAGGTAGAAAGGCTGGGCCTTGTGGCTGCCATAGGAAGCCCCTTACCTGGCATCCCTGACGAGCATCCCGTCCCCAGCGTCACTGTTGCCTGGGTTGTGGGGTGGTCTTGCGGGTCTGTGCCCCCAGCCTCTGATCTCCTTCTCTTTCCCCTTTGCAGCGTCTGCCACTATGGCCGGCTCTTCTGGGAGTGGGGGGATGGTATCCTTATGCACGACTCCCAGAAGCCCCAGGATCCGAACAAGCTGTCTAAAGAAGACGTCCTCTCCTTCATCCAAATGCACAGCGCCTGAGGGTCGCGGGTCACCCAGCGTGCCCCAGGGCAGGGCTCTGGGCACCTGGGACCCTCAGTGGAGCAATGCAGCCTGGTCGGAGGGCAGGTGGCCTCCCTTGAGTCTGCGGAGAACTGCACAGGGTCCTCAGAAGCCTTCTCGCATGAGCCTTTCCTCTGCTGGGACTCAGCCCGAAGGCGGCTGCTCCCAAGCAGGACAAGGTGAGCGCTCCATGCTCCAAGGGCAGTGGAGCACCCAGTGAGGAGCTGCTCTCGCTCATTCCTGTAGACTCACTTTTCTGAGTTCCGTGCCCTGCCCCGACAATGACCAAGTCCCTGCTCTGCCTGGGAGTGGGTGCAGGCCCACTGGCATGGGCTGGCCAGGAGCAGCTGCCATGCAAATCAAGGTTTTCCTTGAATGCCAAGCTGGGGACTTCCCGTCTCCTCCCTGAGCCCTCCCGGCAGGCCGGGAAAAAGAGCTTGGGTCCTCCACCTTGGGACTGTGTGTTACTGCCTCCTGGCATTGTGGAACTTGCTGAGCCTACCCTCTTGGGATTCAAACCCTGGGCAGCTGTGAACATGCAGGCACCAGCCCTAAAGTGCTGCCTGTGTGTGTCAGTCATGGCAGGTGCCTCAGTGGTCTGAGCAGCCCTGGCCCTGTGATCACCACCCCGCTGCCCTGGGTGCTATGGGGTCAGGACAGCTTCTTGCTACCCTTCCTCTCGTTTCCCCCACAAGCTGGGCTGGTTGTTTGTCCCTATGTGGTCACTCCATTTCCTGTAACTTGGCGGAAGCACAGAGGGAGGAGGGGGAACTGGGCAGTAGCTCTGGGTGGGGGAGGGCACCTATGGTTGTTTCTAATGGGAAATACCTCAGATGTTGGTATGAGCTTCCCGGGAGCCCAGCTCAGAGCTAGCCTGGTTTCCATGGAGATAGGGTGCTGATGTTCCTAGGGGATTGGCACTGGCTCCACCATGGGGTCCTTCCGGCAGCATCTGGCCCCTAGGCTGGCAGCAGCACCGCTGAGATGCTGTGTTCCACCCAATTCTGGGTCTATCAGTGTGTCTTGCAGAACCTTGAATCATTAAAGATAAACATATTTTTAAAGCCTGTTTGGCTCTGTGACAGGCTTGGCTGAGACAGCTTGGGCGGAGGCTGCATTCAGAGAGGACTTGGTTAATGGGAGCCCATCCGAGCTGTGGGGCCCTTGCAGAGCTCCCAAGGCTGCAGCTGGAGGGGAAACGCAGAGAACAGTTGGAGAAAACCTGCAGCTCGCGGGAGAGCAGACGTGCCGACAGCCCCGGGAGGGCAGGAGCCACCTTCCCCCTCACATAAATCACACAGCTCGCTCAGCAGTAGCATTGTGACAATCCACGATTGGCCTGTGTGACTAAACTAACAGAGGTGGCAGACCAATTAGTGTCACTAGACTAAGGGCAGGGAGGAGGGCAAGATGGTCTGGCTGACCATGGCCAGCCTCTGCCAAGGCAGCCAGGGCTGGTCCCATCAGCGCCACCCTGTCCTCATTCCAGCTAGCGTTGCTCCACCAGCTGCTTCTGCCTCCACCTGCCTCCACCCGGCCTCACAAGGCCTGCCTTGGGGTCTCAGAGCCTTAGGTCCCCGGCCAGCTCCTTAGAAGTCAATTGGTTTAATCTCAGCCACCCATGTGCTGCCTTATTGGCCTCACCTTCCCTGTTCCCCCACCCATGGCCGCTCTCCCTGTACAACCTGATGGACTGGCCGCTGTCACTGTGAGTCAGTCTGGTCCTCCCCATGGCTCTTGCTGCCCACTTACTCAGCAGCGCTGCCTGCAAGTCCAAGATGGATTAACTCCTCGTTCCTCAAGAACCCCTGCAGGATAGCTCCAAGTTCTTGTACTTTTTCTGCACAATTACAGGCAGTGGCACTGATGGAGGGTAAGCTGGGGTGGAGTGGGGGTGCACAGCTTGGGCTTGGGAAGTGCCTGCTGTCTTAATTTCTCACGTTGCAGGCTTGCCTTCCCCACTCGCCCCTGTTCTAAGCTGAGAGCTTGCTTTCCTTTGTGCGTCCCTTCTCTTCCTGAGTGCATCCACCCCAGCAGTCACCATGACATTTACTCAGCAGACGGGAGCATCCTCCGTTCTTTATTACCTCTCCCTTGGGCTAAGGGCGGAGCAGCATCGCGTCCTAGAGGGCCGGGCCCCACAGCAGGCTGGAGCAGCAGGAGAGTGGCGCCAATGGGAAGCCGTGCAGGGCATGAGGCCCTGGCACCTAGGTCCGCTGGGGGCCGACGGGCATGGCCAAGTGGCTGAGAGGAGTCGGGGCTGCCTGTGGGGACTCCCAAACTCACAGGGGCCAGTAGGCGTAGACGAGGGCAAGGAGGATGAAGATGGCCACGGAGAGCAGCGTGTTCTTCCGGTTTTCTTGCCGAAGCAGCTTCAGCTCCTTCTCTGGGAGGAACGAGGGACAGGATGGACAGTTGAGGCATGCTGCTCTCATCTGCCTCAGCCTCGGAGGGCACAGTCTAAGGATGAGCTTCCCTTCCCACAAGGACCCTGTCCCCCACCTGCTCACTGCTAACCTGATAAAATCCCACTTCACCTCCTTAAGGGCCTGAGGACTCACCCAAAGGGCCACACCTAGGAGCCAAGCAGAGGGGGTGTGCGTGAGACATCCGCAGGTGAGGTCTCTGCGGTGCTCAGCCTGCCAAGAGGAAAGGCAGCTGGAAAAGCACATGTCGTGGCTGGTCCTCTGTAGCGAGGGGCAAGGCTGTGCCATGTGTATGCAACTGCTGACGAAGCTCAGGCACGAGGAAAACGACTGCAAGCCAGCTCCAAGCAGGCAGCCAGACAGCCTGCACCCTGGACAGGAGGGGGTGTGCTGCACCTACAGTGTCGCTATGCACAGGTCCTCCCAGAGTGCTGGCCCCCAGGGAACTAAATACCCTCTGCAGACCACTGCTTCCAGCGCCCCGCCCCGGCTCTGTCCCTGGCACCCAGAAGATGGCAGCACTGCTCCACCCAAGAAGGAGGTGGTCTTCCTTTAGCTCCGCTCCGTTCTGGGTTCTCCTGGGACAGCGTGCAGGAGGCTGAGGTGCACACAGGGCACTTAGAATCCCCAAGTCTCTTCTGGACTCAGCTCCAGCTATATCCCTGCGTACCCAAGATGGTCAGTCCCTTCCTCCCTTGAACAAAGCAAGCAAACCCCACCCCCACCAGCCCTCGGTGGGGAGCCTGCTGGGAGGCGGGAGTTTCTTACCATAGCCAGAGGCTTTGCTCATCAGGCTGTTTTTCTCCTTCTCCAGAGACCTCCTGTGAGGGGGGAGACATTTGCTGGCTTAAGCCGGCCGGCTGAGGGGCAGGCGGCCGAGGGGCAGGCTGCACACGGTCGGCTGGGCTTACTGAGCAGGAGCGTTACCTGGCCTCTGGGCTCAGCTTGGCTCTCTCAAGCCTGGTGGTCACGGTCTCCAGGTCGCGGCGACACTGGGACAGCTTCTCCTCTAGCCCATCGATCTGAAATACAGAGCAGAGGCAGGGCAGGGGTGCAGGGCCTGAGCCCATGGAGCTTGGGGACCCGGCCCCGGGGCTCTCTGCCCCACCTCATGCAGACCCCCAGACCAGGTTCGTGTGTGCTGAGCAGGCCCTGGCCCACATTCCCCACCATGTCCTCATGGACGTGTTGTCCTCAGTGCTCTGGGCAGCCCCTCCGCCCCGTCTCCCCAGGCAGGGACAGGCGGAGCCTGAGTGTGCGCCACAGGCCTGCTCTGCGCGGGACGGGGCCTGACTTCCAAGTTGCTTCAGGGACGTGGGTCTGGACGCAGGGAGAGGGTGTTTGCCTCACAGACATGCTACATCCTAAATATAGTCTACAAGGTACATTTTCCTATGAGAATAAAAATTAGGTGAAAAAAAGTGCAATTTGAAAAACCCTTGCATATCTTCATGACTTGATTCTTGCGCAAGAACCCTATCATCAAGTAACTGTTACCAGATTGGAAAAACAGTCGAGCTCCTGGGGCATACAGTGTTGCGCAGCGGGTAAAGCTGCTGCCTGTGCTGTCGGCATCCCTTATGGGCACTGCTTCCAAGTCCTGGCTACTGTACCTGCAGCCTGCCTGGCTCCCTGAGAAAGCAGCGAAGATGGCCCAACTGCTTGGGCCTCTGTCACCACATGGCAAGCCTAGAAGCTCCTGGCTCTGGCCCGGCCCAGCCCTGGCTGTTGTGACCATCTGGGGAGTGAACGAGCCATGGAAGATCTCTGTCTCTCCCTCTATCTCCGACTTTCAAATAAATAAATACAATAAAATCTTGAGGAAAATAATTAAGGTACTGTGAAGTTAGTTGCCAAAGGCATTGCTTGAGTTTCTAAGACACATTCTTGGGCAATACTTTAGTACAAAAATATTTTGTAAAATGTTGGCCTGGTTTGAGTCCAGCACAATAGCCTAATGGCTAAATCCTCATCTTGCATATGCCAAGATCCCATACAGTTGTGAGTTCATGTCCCAGTGGACCCACTTCCCATCCAGCTCCCTGCCTGTGGCCTGGGAAAGCAGTGGAGATTGGCTTAAAACCTTGGGACCCTGCATCCGTGTGGGAGACCTGGAAGAGGCTACTGGCTCCTGGCACTGGATCAGCTCAGCTCTGGCCATTGTGGCCACTTGAGTGAATCAGCGGATGGAAGATCTTTTTCTCTCCTCCTCTCTGTAAATCTGACTTTCCAACTTAAAAAAAAAAAAAAAAAAGTCTTGGCCTGGTTTTCTGAATCTGGGTCCTGTATTGGGCTGTTGGCATTGAAAGTCCACATCCAAGGGCTGGCATCCTGGCACAAGGGCACAAGTGAAGCCACAACCTGTGGCACCAACGCCCCACATCAGAATGCCAGCTGGAGTTGCAGCTGCTTTGCTTCCAGTCCAGCTCCCTGCTAACGCACTGAGAAGGCAGCGGAAGATGGCTCAGTGCAGGACCCGATGGAGTTCCAGGCTTTCAGTTCCTGGGCTTCAGCCTGGCCCAGCCCAGCTGTTACCAACCATTTGGGATGTGAACCCTGCCACTCTCTTTCAAATATGTAAGCCTGAAAAACAGTCCACATCCCTGTCTGACTGGTCGCCTCAGGGGCCCGGCCTGCCCCGGGTCGCAGCCGGTGAACGGGCGGCTCTGTCGCATACAGCAGCCAACAGCAGTGCCTGGCGGTGCTCATTCTCATGTCCCTGGGAAGGACAGCATCATGACCTCTATTTCACAACTGGCAAAAGGGGGTCCCCCAGCAATCAGTGGCACCCCTTTCCTCCTCAGGCACAGTTCCTGCTCGATTGCTGTTGTGAGCTTTCCCCTGGAGAGGCAACAGGCAAGGGAAAAACCAACACCTGCTTCCCAGGAAGACTGGTCAATGGGCAGCCAGGACCCATCCCAGCCACTTCCAGGTCAGCCACTTTCTCTTCCTGATGACTGGCCCAAATGACACATCAGCCACAGCCAACTCCATGAGCAGGGCCTGGAGTTCGCCGGCTGGACAGCGGGCTTGGGAGAGCCACCCTGCCGAGCCGTCCCCCTCACAGCAACACTCCTGACATGCCCAGCTCAGCCCCCGGGCCCAGAGACAGTTCCCATGCCATGGCACAGAAACCATACCTGGGGCACCTCATCCCTGAACAGCTCCAGAGCAAGCCAAATCCTTTCTCCAGTCGAAACTGCTGGCGTTGAAATGTCAGCTGTCATTCAGCTATCCCTAATCATTCATAATGTGCTTGCTTCTCCAGCATGGCTCAAGGGCCCTCCCAAGTCTCAGGGGGTCAGGGCGAGGGGTGCAGATCATGCAAGGGGCTTGAGGGCTATTGGCGGCTGAGGGCTGACCTGAGCCCTTCTGCGGAGAGGAAGGAGGCTGAGAGCGACACTTCTTCAGCTCGTGTCTCTCCCTTCTGTCAGGATCTGACCACCATCATCATCACCACCACCACCACCATCATCATCATCACCATCACCACCACCACCACCCCAGACAGAAATACCGTGCCCCTCCAGCGGAGCCGCAGTTCTCACTAGCCAATGTAGATGTACATACGGGGGGCACGAAGCAGGCCACAGAGAAGGCTAACATGCCGCTGTGGTAGTGGGCTCCAATCAGAACCACTCCCTTTCCTAACTGTTCATGCTGGAGGGTGGCAGGTGCCACCAGTGCCATCTCCACCTCCACCCCTGGCCTGAGCAGCCTGACCCCACCGCCTGAAGCAGAACCCAGAGCTGAATTCTTAATCTCCTTCTCTTCCAAGAGGCCTTCCCTGGCAAGCAGGGTGAACCTGAGCATCCTCACTGCTCCTCCTCCTCCTGCGTCCAAACCTCTTCTCAAAGCCCGGGAGCCCCTAAGTGGACCCATTCCACTCACGCTCAGCCCCCAAGGAAGCCAGCACTGGCAGCTCCTGCCCCCTCCAGTCCTTCTGGCTGTAGCCATGCTATATAGGGTGAGAGGCACGAGGACCAAGGGGTTAGGGTAGAAACAGTCTGGATCTCGCCTAGCAGCTGGACCAGAGAACTTCCCTCTGCGCCCAGAGGAGAAGCAGCAGCTACAGATGTGCGCGATGAAATCATACAAGGTGCACACCACCCAAGACAAGTCTCAGTCCCAGAATCCTTCTTGCTGCCAACCACCCTATGACAGCCAAGTCATTCTGGGGAGGGACAGGTTGGGGACGGCCATCCCTGGACACCTCTAGAAGGTTATCAGGTGCCCAAACCAGTGGTAATTGCTTACAGCAAGGCCAGGTGAGTCATGCTAAGCAAAATCTTAGAATTGAGGTTGGCGAGCCACGAGTGGCCAAGCCATTCGGCCCTCCTGTTTTGGACAGAGCCCGAGGAGCTGACAGTCGGGGGCCTTTATCTGAACAAGCCCAATTTACTTGCAGTTCCACTGAATGTCCCCACTTGCATTTGCCACTTTTTAATGAGGCTTAAATGGGTGAACACAAATCAAGGTTTTAGGGACTCAAGTCCTCACCTCCCTCCATGAATATTTATGTCCTGCTGACAGCTCTCCCAGATTCCCTTCTGAACAGCAAGCTCCCAACAGGGCCTGAAAGAGGCCAGGCGGTCGGTTGGCAGGCTCTTGACGAGGCCACAGAGCCGCCCTCCAACGTGACCCCACAGCTCTCCGGCTCTGGGCCATGCACCTGCAGGTGAGACTCCTGGCAGCTGTGACGGTGGCAGAGGGGTCCTAGAACCGCACCTGCCACGTGAGCGTTCGGCAAGTGATGCATTCTACTGCATGATGCTCTTCACTGGCACTTAGGGGACAGAGAAAGCCTTGTTCACTTGCAGCGAGAGAGAGAGAAGTGGGGGGTGGGGTGGGGTATAAGGCATCCCCTTTTGGGTGCTGGCTGACAACTGTGGAGTAAGCCCTAGGGGCCCCAAATCTGGCCAATTCTTTGGGTCCAAGGATCAGGGTGTAGCAGGGGGGGCCTGTGATGCTGAAAGTGGCGTCAGCAGCTCCTCCACAGGCCACTTGCCCAGCCAGATGGGGCCTTTGAGACAGGGCCCAGTTGCAGAGGCAGGGCCTGGCGGGAGCCAAGGTTAAGAGGCCTGGAACAGTGTCCTAGGCAAAGCAGAGCCTTGGGGAGATCTGGGCTCCAGTGGGCATCTGAGGGAGCAAGAGGCAGGGGGGAGCATGGCCAGAGTTGGGGCACCCCCGACAAAGCAGGTGGTGGGCAGGCAAAGCTGCGGATTCAGGCAGAGACCCAGAGCAGTGAGATCAGTCTGGCAGGAAGAGGGGGTGCCTCCTGGGGGCCTCCGGGCTGCCCAGGACTCCCTCCTGGCAGGCAGGGGCAAGGTCAACCTACAGCTGGCTCAGGGGCCAGGACTCGCCTGCAAACACATGGCACAGCACTTGCAGCTGTGAACATCCAAGGCAAAGAGGATGCAGCCAAGGTGAGAAGGTAGAAGGCACTCAGCCGGGTACAGTGTGGGGTAAGGGGAGCCCGACACACGGTAACAAGGGTCCCTGCGTTTACATCTGTACTCATGGGGTGTGCGTTCACAGGTTGCCTGTGATGCCAGCATCCTGTTTGAGTGCTGGTTCCAGTCCCAGCAGCCTGCTCACTTGACTGAGAAAGGAGTGATGGCTCGAGTGCTCAGGTCCCTGCCCCCACACAGGAGGCTCAGATGCTAAGTGCCTGCTGCCTGGCTTTGGTCTGACTGCGGCCTGGCTGCTGCAGGCATGCAAGGGGTGAATCAGCAGATGGAAGAACTCTCCGTTCCTCCCTCCCAGTCATCCTGCCTTTCAGGCTCAGAGCAATTTTTCCAACAGAAAGAAAAGGACCAAGTCCAAGTCACTGGCACACACCAGCAGGGGAGGCAGGGCTGCTGCCGACAGCAGGTACAAACCCTGCCCTGGTCAGCACCTGGCACACCTGTGGACTTGGCTGGGCCCATGTGGACTCCAGCATGGGCAGCTCAGGGGACCCAGCAACAAGGGGGTGAGCAGGCATGGTACTGCTGTGCCAAGTCCATTCTTGTCACAGAAA